GGGCTACAGGTGTGCGCCACCATGCCCAGCCTCCTTCTGAATTTTGACAGAGGGGATCTCCATTTCCCAATCTTGAGCTGGCACAGGTCCTCACCTTTCCTAGCCACAGGAGTCCCCTGAGACACAGCTGTGCCAAAGAGGGTCCCTCCACCTAGGCCAGGCAGGCCTGAGCAAGATCCCATGTTCCCAGGAGCCATTTCCTCATCCTTACTGCTCCCGCTCCTGCCTCTATTACGGATGTGGGTGTTCTCTTTGGTGAGACTTTCCTTGTCTTTTGGGTGCTCTGGGTGCTGTGCGCCTCAATGCTCCTCCTTGCCACTGCAGCATGTTGCTGAGAAACACAGCTGGGCAAAAAGCAAGGCCTCCTGAACTGGTAGAAATCTTCAGAAGTAGGTAGCGGCCTCCTGTGGCTCCACCCCCGCCCTCCTCTAATACTGCTGCGCCGAGTCTGCCACAGACTCTGAGGGGAGCGAATTCCTTCACTGACGATGGGCCACCTCCCCACACCCAGCCACCACCACTGCCACCGCCCGCCACCTCCTTCAGCTAGAAATCACCAGGCCTTAAGTCAGCTTCGCATTTCCACGGATTGGTAACTCCTCTTTTGTTTCCCCAGGTCAGGACCACTCTGACAACTCACCAGACAAGGTAAGCACGGCCACTTTCCCTGGCTCATTTTCTCATGGAAATGACTCTGTACAGAATTGGCTATTCCTGAAGACATAAATGGGAGACAAATTTGGGCTAGAGTTCTTCAGTGCAGCAACAAAGAAGTATTGCTAAATCACGCACCTGAGTCTACCTCACGGCAAGAATGTGCACCTTGGAATCATCCCCCATCCTGTGTTGAATACTGGCTGTGACTCTTAGTAGCTCTGTGACTCTAGCCAAGTAACTTAACCTCTTTGACCCTCAGCTTCGCCATCTGTAAAATGGGCATTCTGCCTGCTTCAAAGAGAAGCTGAAGGGATTAAACAAGTTACCATGTGTAGAGCACCCGGCACCACGGTCAGAATAAGGAAGACGCTAAGTCATTCTCCCTCCTCTACCTTCGACCTGACCCTGCTCTTACTGTCAAAAGGATAATTTCCATTCTAATGGATCTGAGATCCTGCTTCCTTCATTTTATGATAATTTTACAGAATTTTTCTCATTTTAATCTTCCAATAGAGCACACAAATATACTGAAAAGTGCTAGCTCATAATTATACTTTCCCGATGTATGAACTTTCACAAGCTGAACACACCCATGTAAACAGCACCCAAAGCAAGAAACACTACCTGACCCGCTTCCCCGCACTTCCCTCCAGAGAGTAACCACTATCCCGACTTCCAGTGCTCCAGATCAGTTTTGCCTGGTTTTGCTCTTACACAAATGAGAAATGCAGCATATCCTTATCCGTGGCTTCTTTCATTCAACATTCTGTTGTGAGTTTCATCCATACTGTTACAGTATTTGTGGTTTTCTCATTCCCATTGCTGTGTTACCATATTCCATTGCACAAACACCACCATAACCTAGGTCTTCTAACGATCATTCATCAGAATGTCAGCAAGCAGAGGATGAGTAATAAGAGCCCTTCTCCAAAGCTCAAAGTTTCAAGTGGTGACAGGTGACAGGCCATGGTGCTGAGTCTCACTAAGCAAGGTGAGGCCCTGACTCATGACACTGACTTAACTGATCACTACTTGTGCTTTTCAGATCGATGAAGTTGCATATTCTACCCTGAATTTCAAAGCCCAGGAACCAACACAACCAACTTCAGCCTTCCCATCCCCAACAGCCACAGAAACGGTTTATTCAGAAGTAAAAAAGAAGGAATGCAACCTGTCCAGCTCACTGCACTGCTGATGTCTTCCAAGTCTCTCACCCTCATCTCTAGGAGATCCCATTACCCTCAGGGGAAAAGGGAAGACGTCTCCCCCACCCTTTCTTCCCTAATAGGCACCTCCCTTCAATGTCAATACATAAAAAGGTACATCCGGGAGTCTGGGAGTCTGTAGGAAACCAACCTTCCTTGTCACTGAAATTTGGCAAAGCCAACTTGGGACAGAGTTGCCAGAACCTCTCCACCCCTCCCCCTTTCCTCTACCTGGACTTGCTTTAAACTTATCTATGTAGCACTCACTCATTCCTTCCCACCCCAGTCCTGTCCTATCAAAGTCTAACTTGAATTTGCCATAACCTTGAGGTTATGCCCTTCTCCACTGAAGTACACGTGCCAGAAAAGAAGAGAAAGAGGGAGAAAGTAAAGGCAGTAATGGCCTCTCCTCTCCCTCCAAAGCCTGGTGCGAACCCACCATACCCAGAAAATCAAACATATAACCAATACTGACCTTGGAAATCCTAGACCTTTGTCCACTGTCAGGGTTGTCTACCTACAGGATCAGGGTCTAGGCACCTTGCGGCTTACCTAAGCCCTTTGGAAAACCTCTCTCCAAAGAACCCGCTAGAATCAACTAGGAAAACTATTTGCCAAGGTCCACAGGCGATTCCTGAGAGAAAATACAGAAGTGCACATATGTTGTAATATCTTTATGGGCTTTATTCAAGGACATGCTGAAAGAGGGAGGGGTTACAGGTTTAGGGGGAAACGAGCCTTTAATAGACACAATCTGCTAGGAACTCAGTAAATGAATCAGAGAGCCACCCTTCAGAGATTATTTAAATTATTGTTTAAAAATGCACAATTTGAGGTATTGGGGGTTTTCTCCTTTTTTCTGCCATTTTAATTTTTGTAACTGTTTATTTATGTGAAAAGGGTTATTTTTACTTAGATTAGCTGTTAAGCCAATCTGACTGCCTTGGGTGAAAGAAACCACCAAAATCCCTCAGGTCTCTTGGTCAAGAGCCTCTCAAGGCTTTTTGTCAGGGGCTCCAAATAGAAAATAAGAAGAGGCTTCCTCGTTTGTGGCTATAAATGGATCTAACTCAGTTTCTAGGCACCTCAGACCAGTCATCAACTACCATTCTATTCCACGTCTCTACCTGTGCATCTTCTGTCTGCCCACTCGCCGTCTCAGGAAACCTTGCCTCCGCTAAGGTGTATTTGGTCTTTGAGAAGTAGGAGCACCCTACAGGGACACTATCACCCACGCTGGTGGCATTGTTTACAACTAGAAGGCTGTACTGGTGCTACTAGCCTTGGGAAACAGGGCTGTGAGAGGGTGTTAGGGCATGGAGGGGCTTGTTATAACTCAGCCCTAGGCATTTTGAACAGCCTCTGAGATCTATCTTTTTTCCCATGGGGTCCATGAATGTGTCTCAGAATAAAAAGGAAGGGCAGGAGGAGAGGCAAATGTGCTTCTCACCCAGCCTTCTTCTATACAGATGGAATCTCTTTGGGGCTAAGAGAAAGGTTTTATTCAATATTGCCTACTTGATCTCATGCTATGCCTAAGAGGCCTTCTCCAAGAGAATTAGCTGGAAATTCTATGTACTCAGGTACCTGATTCGGGGTTTTCTAACCCTGACATGATTGTACATACTTTCCCTCATCCATGCTATGCTGTGTTAATTAATTTTGTCTGGCTAAGGCCACTTCCCAATTATTTGTAAAATTTGCTTTATATTTCTAATAAAAATTATATATCACACATCAACATGCTGTCTCATGGTTGATATTACTTTAGACAATGTCGTCTTTACAGGCAGAAGAAAGAAATTGTTCTATGGGGAGTCAGAGTAAACCTATTTCTCAGTCTACAGATATTTGATCTAGTGATCAGAGAATTGGGTAAATTCATTCGCACACCTGCTAACAAAGTGGGTCTATCTGGAAGCAACAGACCACAGGTCCAACCCGCCTGGAAGGAACTGCCTGTCTTCTTCCAGGAGAGAAGATGATTTCATGAGCAAAAGATCTCTGGGCCTCTTCATTAGGGGCCAACAACACTTCCCACAGAGGTGGATCCAGCGATTCAGGTGTAGGAACACGAGGGTCTCCACAGGTTCAGTCACACAGAAACTTCCCTAGACCTCCTGTCTCCTCCCTGTTCCCAGTTCCTTTTTTCTGCCCTCCCAGAGGGTCAGATCTCTTCAAATATGAATAACCTTCATTTATTAATTCCACTAAGTATTAACCTCTTAGCTCATTTCCTTCACTCCCAAGCAATTGACATACGTGTGCTGCCTCTCCCTTTCCTCTTCACCTAATTCCTCCTGCCCCCGGCAGTGGTGCCTCCATACCCAAGACCACGGGAAGCAGCATAAAACCAGTGACCATCTC